ATCTTAATGTGCCTTTTCTTTCTTGAAAAAAAATTAGTGAAAATAAACTATTTTTTGGATCGAGATAGGTATATATCCTCTTTTAAACTTTCAAGCGTGATCAATTAATAAACTTCAAATCGTTTATGGTCAAGTTTATGTTTATAGTGAGATTATAACAGTCATACTACATCTTTTTTTTCTGATTGCGCTTAAGAAAAATTTTTTGTTCTTACCGGGATTTGTATTTACATTACTCGCGAAGATCGCGCCATCGTCGAAATCGCGGCTGCATATTGCTGCACTTGAGAGAGCAATGAGAAAAATCGCTGCGATGATCATCCTTAAAATTAAAATTTAATTTTTAAATTTAATGACTGAATTCTTTTAATTTTCTTCACTTCTCACAGTTATACATATACACAGTATTAATAGTCTCGCGCGATTTCAGACAGAATTTTTTTCAACAGAATAATCGTTTTGCGCGGAATCAAATTTAATGTTATGAAAGTCAAGTGCTATCGACAACTGAGAATAGTAAGCTGTATCCAAGGATGATGAATCTTGGATTCGGTAGATTGGTCTTCTCGTCGAAAGTAGATAATAATTGAAATTGCAATTTTCGACATTTGTCACTATAATACAAACGAAATTACTTTTAGTGAGATGAGGAACGATAGTGTGTGAGTATTGTGATTTCCCTTCAGGTATGAGTTTGTGTAATTTGGATTAATGTACGCAAAAATTATGTAACATGTAAAATACAAGGAGTTTATCTTACCTCGCCATTGCAAATTTTGAAAGCGTTATTGCTGATGAATACATAGTGGTTTTGTAATGGGACTGTAATTGACGGAATAATCAAGGTTTTGTAGTGGAGAAAAAGGAAAGAACCGCACGCAATTATTTCGACAGATCTTGAGCGGAAAATTTAGTGTTAGTAATAGCATTTATTTTTTAATCTTCGGCTACCATTAAAAATTTTCTTTTAATTTATGTTGGGATTGTTCTTGTTACTATTCATTTCTATTTTGACATATAGGTAAATATTATATTAACATATTTTCTTAAACGGATTATGTATATGCTGCATAATTCTACTTTATTATCTAAAATATTCATAATTTCAGATTATTTAATTAAGATTATTAATTTATAGTTATACATTCACGAGCACACTTAACATCATATTCATTTAGATGTTATTTTCTTTTATATAAATACAAGTCATACTTTTATGCATAACTTTTATAAATATTAAAGGGATTGTTGTTAATCTTCCATTAAAGACGTATTTTTCGCATGCTTGTTACGCGCTTTCCTATGATTTCAAGCGAAACAAATATATATAATTATGACAAATAAAAATTTGTGAAGAAGCATGATGATTATGAAAAAAGTATGTAGAATTAGCAAAATGTAAAATTACCGTTTTGTTAGTTATTCTACATTTAATAAAAACTTTCCGACGTCAAAAACATCTAAATAAGCATCTAAATAAATATCTAAATAAGCATTATTATATTTTTAAAGTTATTTCTAAACAAAGTTGAAACTTTACAGTTACTCTACATTAATTCGATGTACCTACTTGTGACAAGCGCGGGAAAGCACCGTGCATCTTTGCCTTATAGCTTTATGTCACTAATCCATTAGTGAAACCAAACAATCGCACTACCTTTAGCTGGCCGTATACATCCGATATCTCATAAGATCAGTATGGTAAAAGGTTGAAAAGTTAGAAGACAGCGGAATATGTATAGTATTTCAGCAACGTGAAAAGTGAAAGTCGCACTACGTTGGACTAGAGGAACGTGTAGATATCAGTGAGATACGTTTTCACGTATATTCATGTGAAGACATGTATGTATATATACATATAATATACACATACATATATATATACACATATATGTATATATGTACACGTGTACATATGTATTGTGAAATCTTTGATACTTATATTTATCGTTTGCTATAAATTCGATATAAATTTATGTATTTTTTCTTATTTTATATGTTTGTTGTTTTAATTAGCGAAACACACACACACACACACGCGCGCATACACATACACATACAAATTATGTACGTTATTCTAAGAACAAATAAATAGTAAAGTATATATTTATGTCATATAAAAAAATAATAAATGAGAAATTTTTAATATTGTATTTAAAATACGAAATACTGATAATGTATAAAGTATTACTTTTTTAATTTAAGTATATGTATAGATATGTGTGTATACATATATATGTACATATATATATGTATACTTGTTTATTTTAACGTCAAAATGATGATAAATAACATCAGCTTGTTTGCCGGATATATACAATATAATAAAATTTATATGTATATATATGTTTAATAAACATTACACTTTGAAACTCACATACGAATAAAATTTCTTCCATGGAAAATGATTAGCACAACATACAAATAATTAATAGCTGAAGTCAATCTTGTTGGCTAACAATTTGCGTTGTACGTGCGTTTGAGAAAGGTAAGCATGAATAAGAAGCATCTCTTCATTTCAGCTTTATATAAGTATTAGAGTCTCTTAGATCTCTAGACGGATCTGCAAAAAAGCGTGCCATCACTATAGGTCTGTCGTAATTTTATCATCAGTGAGATAAAAAAATATTTGCTGATGAAATTGCATTAGACATGAATATTTTACATTTAAAGTTTCATAAAAAATAATACTTCAATCTATTTCTGTAACTAAATTCATCGTAGAAATAATTATATCATTTTGTTCATGTTGCTTATTATAAAATATTTAATGTATATTATTTCGATCTTGTGATAATAAAATAATTATTTTTAATAATTTTCTATATATATATGTATATGTATATATATTATATGTATTGTGCATTTCATTTTGTAGTTTTAATATCATCAGACTGTCGAAAAATATATTTTGTCAAAAATTGACGATTGAAGATTTTATCCACGAATACTTCTGACTTTACACTCGCGACATACATATCTTCGGTTTTACAAAACGTCTAGTTCATATAAAAATTTAATATAATGCTCAATATTTGAGTTACAAATTCGTTATCATTTCGTTGATACACTAAAGATGATCGAAATCGTGATCGAAACATTTGTAAAAATACATATAAGTTTTACACGCTACCATCCAGTGTCGGCTTACATTGGCTTGCATTTTTCCCTTATTTTAGTTTTTAAGAATGTTTTCTAAATACTTTTATAAACATTTTTTATTTGCTAGTTGGGAAGATAGTGCTGACACGATATATTCCAATGATGACCATTGTCTGACCACTATATATTTCTACATTTTGTATAAATTATTTATACATAAATTTCCCAGCTGTTTTATAAAATGCTTCCGTCACTTATACTTTTTCCGGCATCTTTGAAAGAGTACCGACGCGCATCAGATGTTCTATCAACTGACGTGCTAATTACAATATTTTAGTTTTTATTTTAAATATACTCAAATATAAAAAAACTATTTTTTAAGAAATAGTCCCAATTTTTTCACGTGAGTTTACCGATTAGGGGAAAGTGATCGAATTGTGTGCAGCGGATAATTGTGGGCATCGTGGTTTGGTACTTTCCCAATAGATGGAGACATCTGAAATTTTTACGCAGAAGATAATTCCCTCAAGTAATAACCACAGAAGGTACGACGTAAGTTCATAACAAGAAAAAACCAAAAAAGTAAATACATTCATTTTCTTGATAATTTCAACACTCAGGAAATAAGATGATGAGTCCGTATTTTTAATTTGTTTGTTTAAAGTTGTATACATTATTACGTTATTATGTGCATCTTTCGAGCTGTTTATTAAGTTTGGTTAGGAAATGTTGAAGTAATGTTATTTCATATCGAGTCAGGTCGCAGCGGGCAACTGTGCGCAGGCGTTTTGAAATGCGCACAATTATTATCCATCTTCCATAGACTATACTCTATATAGTTGCTTTCCATTACACACAAGTGAAAGTGAGCTGAGTATTTTATACTCAGATTATGATGTCACTACTTGTTTAATTTTATAAAAAAAATATATTGTATATATATATATATAAAATATATTTAATATATATATTTATATTACAATATTATAAATATATTTTATGATTTCTTTGTCAACATTCCATATATAATTCATTCATTTCCTACAACTTTTCCTTTGCGCATAATTACCCGACGCGCAAGAAATTTTGTCGCTTTTCCGTGTTTTCCTTTTTGCCAAATACAACCTTATTAAATGAAAATCTGTTTAATATAAGGATACGTGATGGTAGAGGAATGTTTATTGTTTCTATTATTTCCATACTTATATCACTTTGAACTTGGAAAATCATCCCAGGAAAACAAATATCTCTTAAATGCGCACAATTCGACCACTTTCCGCTGTTATGCTGGTATCAAATAATAAGGCGTTCGCCAACATCATGATAAACTGCATCCATGATTTCAGACAAGAAAAAGTGTTTAAAATCAGATAAGACGTTTCTTTACGTTTAAAAGACAACTTAAAGATGTCTTATGTCACAATTTGAGATTTTATGTTGATTAAGATAATGCTCTGGAATGTGTATTTTTTCAAAAAAATTAGTAAAGTTATAGCTCAAGGTTTGATAGAAGTGGCGGACATAAACGAAGAAGTATAAGCGTAAAAAAACACATCTGATAATCAAACTTCTTATTAAAGGAAGAATAAAATTATTATTTTGAAACGCGCTATCAATTTCGTTTAATGAAAATATTACTAATGGTTACATAAATAAATATCATCAAATTGTGTAACAATTAAATTATAATTTTTTATAAATTTACTTATATTACAAACCTCATTACTTGAGATTCACTAATATAACGATTTAAACATTAAAATAGCTCTTACATGCATATTCTATAATTCTATACATAAACTATTGCAAAATGCCATGAGCTAATTTTTTTTAATGTACGATCACAGCACCAAAATAATTTTGGTGTCTCAGTCATCTTTTATCTTTATTATCGGTCATGATGATTATCTACTTCAGGATCTTAAACAGATTCAAATCTTCTTCATGATCTTAAGCAGTCTCTTGTACACAAACTTAGGCGCATCTTTGCCCCAGATAAAATCCAAATGATTGAATTTAGGCAATGGTACTCGGTACAAGTCCAAAATGTTGGATAACGATTTGTATAGCTTCTTCACATCCTTAAAAAGAAAGAAACCATACGTTATCACGTGTGTTATCTTACTTATTTACTCTGTATTTTATACGCAATGTTTTTCTTTGTGCTATCTTTTGTATTAGATTAGGTAATTTTTGTGGGAATATTTTTATCTTCTCATCGAATTTAAACTTTCGAAATTTCAAATATTTACGCTGATAAAGAAAAAAAATAGTAATGCGATGAGTATAACATAATCATAACGATATGTTATCTAAAGTTTGATTCACAAGGTAACACGAATCAATTTTTAATATGTATTTTATACGTACAATATGTCCTACGTGTTTCTTCCATCTAAATTTTCCCTCTACCTACCAAACTATCAGCCAACAAATCATTGTCTGCGTAGAATATCCCAATTGGCACAGTAATGTTCGCTAGATTGTAGTCCGGCGGTTCAGTTGCGTTGTAGATCAACAGATTTTTCTCGCGACCGTAGTCATATTGGCGAAATTTGCCCGATTCGATTTCCTGGCCGAAGTGCACCATTGTTTTGGTCGAAGCACCGGCTGGATCGTGATTCAAAATCACAGGTAGCAGAGTCTAAAAAATAATATAATATCTGATCTGAAGAATGATCGCATATGTCAAACATGACAATCGAAGCACTGATCGGAGTTACACTTTGATGATTTTTTATCACGATGTAGAATATAATACTTACGTGATCGAATTGTTCTTCATCGAATCCACAGATTAAAAATATTAAGTTGGTGCAGATCTCCTTTTCAACGTACGTTACCTCGCAGCCGTGCTTCGCCAGAAATTGCAGCACACCATTATGTGGTAGGAACTCGTCCTCGCCGAAGAAATGCGCGATTATCTGTAATTCATGGATTCCTTAATTACGATATATTTACATATAATATAATGTAAATGCTCTGATTTTAGCTAATATTTGAAAATAAATAGATATCTTCATTTGAAGCACAATTTATCGAATTGAATTTATATAAATGATCTTCGATCTTAATCTTAATTCGTAAACGTTTGTTAAAACTGTAATCAAAGATTGATAACGTAACACTATTACATATCATAGATAACATATAAATATAACAATAAGTAAGAGCAGAAAAAAAATTTTTTGCTAGCAAACTTAAAAGATAAAGACTGTCTTTGAAAAGTAATAGTGAAGCATAAAGAAATATTCTTTATTCATGTAGATATCGTAAAATTATAAGAAAAAGTGTTATCTACTAATTAATGTAGCTTAATTCTTAACATGTTATTTTAAATCCTTAGATCACTATATAATAATAAATTTATTTTCTAATAATACATTACCTTTAAATTGTTCACGTAAGGAGCTAAAAATCGTATTGGACTTTTTATATGTTTTACAAAAACTGCAGGTGCAAGACTAATTATTGTTCGCACTATTCGGGCAATATCTGGACGTTCTGCTGCCATCACGTAAGAAGCAGTTGCACCCATCGAATGACCAATGTATGTGTGCAATGGGTGTAACGTCATATTCGTGATATACGAGATCATCGCAGGTAAATCATAGATGCCCAATTCGTGAAAGCTGATAAAAGTTTTAATCAATATACAACATAAAATACTATATACATATAATAAAATGTATTGTCACATTATAGTAATATAAAATTAATTAATCAACTTTCATAAATTTTTACTGTAAATTACTTAATGCTATACATATAAATGTCGACAATTCTCTGAAAAAATTGAGTAAGTAAATTAAAAATGAAAATTATATTTTAAAAGTGCATTACACACACATGCATTAAAATGCATTTACTTGCAATTAACATAACTATGTATATCATCATTATTATGATCATAGTTTATCATCATGACATGCTTTCCACGAAATTTGTGATTAGAATTTTAGATACGGTTTTCAAATTCTTTTAAATACCAGTAAATTTATAGTAAATATTTATTTTTCTTTTTATTTTCACGATTAACCAAATATTTTCAATCGATTTTGTATTAGAAGATTGGAAAAGCCAATCCTATTATATTATGATATTATTTTCATTATGATATTATTTGTGAAAATAGGATGAAGGTTTTGTAAAAAGCCTAACGACAAACTATAATTAATTAATAATAATGCTCATTAGACGTAATACAATAACAAATAAATGCACTTTAATGTATGTACTTTTTAAATATAACTTCAATTTTTAATATACTCGTATCAGTTTCTTTTAAAGAATTGGTAACAATACTTATTATTAAATATACATTGTTACAAGTATTGTCATTTTTAACGCGCACTATTATTTTCTTCTTATTTCCTTAATGCAAGTACCTGAAATTCCAAAATCTTGAATCCGATGGAGATAAAGAAATGTGCGCCCTCGAGTCAGTATTTCCACGAAAATTACCCAACCAAATATCATATCCCTGATCGGCCAATATAAAAGCTAGTATAAAAAAGAAAATATTGATCACCGTAGCTACTTATGTAAAAATATTTTAGCTTTATAGTATTATATACAAAATCTAGACACCCGAATCGTCTGATAAATTTTTTATTTTTTATGTGATAAACTTTTTATTAAACTTTTTATTAATCTCATTTTGAGCAAAGTGAAATTTTATGTAAAATCCAGAAGAAAAGTATCTTATTTTAATATATAAAGTTATTAGCATACAAAATATAATATTACAAAATATTAAATAATATTACAAAAATAAAAATGGAAACTTCCAAAAAATTGAAATTAAAATATGCATGTTTTTTCTTGATTGTGGAATTTGAGAATTTATTTTTCGGTATTTTGTCAGAAACGTAATCGATAGTTTCTTAAAATTGATTGAAGTAGTACCAAGTCCTTTATCCTTGCCGGGAATGACCCAGTCGGCGGAGCTGCCTAAAAGACCATGCTGCAACAATACAGATGACTGATTCTTATCACCTGGAATACGATGAAGTGTTAAGAGGTAACCGTCTTCCGTCTGTACAATATGAGCCTCTGCTGGATAACCAGCTTTTTTTATCATTTGCAGCTGGAAAAAACAAAAACAAATTATTTATTACTAAATGTAATAATGCAGATTCACATTACTATAATACAATAAAAATAAGATAAAATGGCGACTATGAGTGACTCATAATCGCCGTTTTATCTTATGTCATATTATCACTAATGATACAAATTGCAGTCTTAAATATCTCATTATGTTGAACTTCCATTATATCTTATATGGTTTTTATTCTTATGAGTAATTAAATTCCACTGTCTTTATCTATAGTGGTGATGCTGCGTAATATTGTTTATTAATAGTATTTATAAGTTAGCTAAAGAGATCATAAAGAGCTCTTTTAGAAAACATTTTACAGATTAAAGACATTTTGATATTATTTAATAAGATTTTAATAAAATTAAAAAATTATCTTTAAAAATTCTTTCTCTTTTACTCTCTTCTTTTGTTTTTCTGTCTTAAGGTTTACTGGGAATCATCTCAAGATATATTAACATCTTGAAATGTTATTTAAGATAATCTTGAAATATAAGGACGGATTATGAAAATCAATCTTGATAGGCTATCAATCTTTTTAGGATATTTATAACATTAGGAGACGCGGTAGTGTCTCCGGCCATGTTCAAAAATATTATCTTATACTTAAAGATTATTTTAAATCTGATCTTAAATGTTTTTAAGATGCCATTCGGCTAATGAAATAACATAACAAGTAAGAATAAGGATCTTATAAAGGGTCTTACTCAAAACTTTGTATTGATAATAATAAGTGTTTTAAGATTGTAATTGAGATAATTTTTAATATATGATTGTGCATTATAAAATCTAAATTCGAAATATAGAAAAAATATGTTTACTCTCTCTCTCTCTCTCTCTCTCTCTTTCTCTCTCTTACCGTATTAAGATCATCAGGATTGCATTTGATGCTATTTGCCAGTTCTCTGCTTTCCTGCATCATTTTCATAAACACGTTCAATGAGAGATCTTGCGAGATGTCGAATGTCACAGCTGCGGCCAGGTCGTAGAACAGCAAAAGGAACGTCATCACGATCAGCATTGTAACGGTATACGATAGAACCGATGACGGATTAATTGGAATTAAATATCGCGGGTTCCTCAAGATATAACAGCGAAAAATTAAGTTGAGAAGTACGACTACGCTCTTTCTATATACGTACCTATAACTGAAGTCTTTTTGTCTCTCTCACATTTTCTTTAGTGGGAAACAATGACGAATATGTTTATCAATCGGAAGAGGGGGAGAGAGAGAGAGAGAGGGGGCAGAAGGAAGATAGAAAAAGTAGATGCATAATCATCTGTAGCATTAGTCATCTAATAATTATGAAAACTAATTGAAGATGCACATGTAAAATTGTTTGGCTAAGTTGCACCTTGTTTTAATACAGTTTATTCTTCTCATTTATGATATTTTATGTACTTAGGCCCTGCGCCTAACAATGGAGGAAATATTAGGAACAGGAATAGATATTATAATTTTAACCTATCAGAAACCGTGTATTCCGATATAACTGGTATCTGATAGGTTAAAATCATAATATCTATTCCTGTTCCTAATATTTCCTTCATTATGCGCAGGGCCTTATTCTCTAAATTCGTTGGAGTATAATTTTATCCTACAGAGCGAACTCTTATTCTTAAAGATTGAAAATTTTGCAATTTTTTTTTAGAGAGAGAGAGAGAGAGAGAGAGAGAACGCAACTTAGCTAATTTTTTGCTATCTGACGTCCTATAATATCAATTTACTCGATTACTCGATTTATTAAAGAACCACCTAAAAACAAATTAATTGATCAATTTTTCTTCACATTAATTTGAGATATTGTTCCAATCATAAAAATTTAAAAATAAAGACAAAACCTTTTTTCTTGATTTAAAAATAAAGACAAAAATGTTTTTTCTTAATCTTTAAAACTAGAAATCTCCTTAAAGTTTTTATTAATTTATTATACTATTCGGGTAATTAGGACTACGATATAATAAAATAAAATAATTACGTAGATTAATAAATATTATATATTCACAAGGGAACCTCACGAAGTATCAAATCTTGATTTTAATGAAGTTTTATATACATATATAGGTTATGTAAATAGAAGAATTTAGAAAATATCAGTTATAGTACAAAAACGGTTTTGTGCTGTAATGGTTTTTCTGCATTTCTTATATCCTTATAATATAAAGCAATTTTTATCTTTTTTCGTTATATTTGAAAAACTATTTAAGATATCAACAAATGTTTATAATAAAAATATCTTTATATTCGTCTACATCCATAACATTTTTAGAAAATTATATAATTATTAAAAAAGTCTTTGAAAACTATTAAAAATAATTATTTTAAAAAAATATTTTGACTTGGAGATAAATAGAAATAATTTTATTCTAAAACTTTTTTATAAATTATTTTTTGTACAAAATTTGCCTGTTTCGGTCTTTTTATGATTAAAAATCGCAATATTTCTTCCTTTCTAAATTTAAAAAATCAAAATTTCCATTATCGATATATCTCGAAACGAGAGCGAGCCAATCACTGAGCGGTGCGACGTTCGACCGTTCGAGATTCATGAATGCGTCAGTGCGTCTTCACTTTCTAACCTTCCACACTTAACCTTACATTATATGATATACGTCGTATTACGGTTGTAAGTTGTAACATGGATGTGGATACAGCGAGTGACAATACTTCGATCGATGACAAGATAGATGACTTTTGCGAAAATCCCACGCGAGATGCATTAACGGAGGGTCTCATGAGCCTCCTGAAACCTACAGTGGACCAATTGGACGATAGAATTCGCGCTACAAGGTACCCACAATTTTCCCTTTGTGATTCATTGCTGGGCGTATACGAACGATAAACCTCTTCTATGTCACGGTTACACTTTGCATGCTTGTTTCTTTAGTGTTTTTGCAGAGAAGAGTGTATTTTCTTTTTAGTAGGCACAGTCGACACAAGTATCATCTTTGTTATACCCGTTTTCACCAATGTAGATTAACTTTAATCTCGGTTTAACTTTGTTCATTTTTTTCTAATTTTTAGAACTATAAAAAGACGAAGAGCAAGTTGAACTGAGATTAAAATTAATCTATATTGATGGAAATGAACATTATTGTTATTGAAAAAAGACATAATAACGTTTATGTTGATCGTGTCTCTTAAAAGAAAAATAGCCACAATATCAAATCACATTTATCTTTATTTATACGTTTATTTGATACATTATGTTACGTACAAAAATCAAAAGTTTATTTGATTTGACTATTATTTTTTTGTAGGATATGCCAAATTGAACTGAAACAACGGATTGAATCCTTAACGGAGGAACTTCAAAAAATCAACGAAGCATTGCAGTATCCGTTAGACACAGATTCCTATGTAAAAAAACTAGTTAATGCTAAGCATAAGATTACTATTGTTAGCAACATTTTGCAAAGTACGCAAGAGTGCTTGAATAAGGTGCATCAAGCTGTCGAGAAGAGTACTGCCAAACGAAAAACACTACTAGATAATAGTTCTGCATATAACAGCACAAGTATCGAAGTGGATAAAGAAGAATCAGCTCAAGCAGAGACTGACAAGCAGGAATAATTTCCGATATTAAACCTATGATCTATAAGATATGACCAAATTGTTACTAAACGATTATTTATAAGTTTTATAAGATTTTATTACATTTTTTCCTATAAATTATGGAGACTCCAATAGTTAAACTATCTGATGAAGAGCTTAATACAGTTTATGAGCCTTCTGAGGATTCATATCTTTTGGTGGATGCTTTGGAAGCAGATTTAGAGATTCTGCATGCGATAAAGCCAAGGATTTGTTTAGAGATAGGTAGTGGCTCTGGCATTGTTATCACGGCTTTAGCAATGGCATTAAAAAGACATCATAATGTTCAGTTTATTGCAACTGATATAAATCCTGATGCATGTAGAGCCACGAGAAGAACTAGTCTGATTAATTCGGTCGATGTAGATGTCCTTCAAATGAATTTATTAGATTGCATACAAATTAAATATACATTTGACATTATTTTATTTAATCCTCCATATGTAGTTACAGAATATGATGAAGTAGTAGATGATAGACTTGTATTCAGAACTTGGGCAGGTGGTAAAAATGGTAGGCAAGTTATGGAACAAGTATTCGCTACTATTCCAAAAATCTTGTCAGATACAGGATTGTTTTATTTAGTTGTTATCAAAGAAAATGATCCTGAATATATCTTGAGCGCATTTAAAAAATTAAATATGTCTGGTAAAATTGTTCATGAACGGAAAGTAAGAGGAGAGCATTTGTATATTTTACGTTTTCATAAAATTGAGGAAACGAAAAGTTAACATAATATGTGAAGGATATAACATTCACAGGATATTTTGAAAGAGTTCAATTTTATGATACAAGAAAAAAGTTCATTGATTGTATGCTATGAATCTAATTATTATGTATAGTAATAAATTACAGATAAATGGACTACATTTATTTGAATTATGTTATATTATATTGCTGTTTGTAGATAGCTGTAAAACATCATTTGTATTATTTTTAAATCATTGTTATGTATTATATAATTGCAATTAATATATACAGGCATAATAATATATTGCGTAAAATAATTTTATTCCTTATCTATGTATACTTTTATAAATATCTTTAGCAGTATTTATTCGTTTAAAAAAGAAAATGATAAATGGAAGCTGATAAAAAAGAGTATATCTTTTTTACAAATATAATTTATTTTCATATAAGTACTTATGATTTACATTATGTTGAATTATCGCAATAAATACCATATCGTATTGGTATTCAAGCATTACGCAAAGTGAGCACTCTCGTCGTTTGAAGACTTGTACGAGTAGTTTGTTAGATGTTTATAGATTGATGTATAAATATGGCTACTCTTTCCTATTCTGCTATCCAGCAGAATAAATTTTCTATGTGTTTGGATAAGAGTTTTATAAAAATTTAGTTATAAATATTTAAAAGCAAGAAGAGCTAGATAAGAATTTCTTTACCTACTATTAATAACAGTTTTAAAAGTCTTAATATACACATTTATCTTCAGCAGTTTTTTCACGATTGAATGATTATAAAGCGATACAATAATATCTCTTATCGTTTAAATTATTATTTGATTACTGGCACGCGTTCGTTGTTTTCTACGCAACTCTTTCTTGGTATTATTACGGTAAAAAGGTATTATAAAATAATACGTCCTACGAATCCACGAATTTTGGTCTGCGAATTCGTTGTAACTTAATATATAACACAGCCGCGCATATGGTCGCGACAAAAAGTGTGCTTAACATAAGAGAGAAAGTTGTGTAAAATCCACTGTTGCTCATGCAGATTTCTTTCGCTTTTATCATTGTCTCGACAGCCGTTTCTTCCATACTTTCCAGGATCTGACTGGATGCTGTACTTAAATCATCTAACATAATCACTTTGAAACGTCGCCCGACACGAACTGGATCTGATAACAGAACCGCATTCGACAAGTTGGTCGACGGTGATGCATATGTTATCGAGCGGCGACGTCTTCCTGGCTCGATTTGCTAAAACATTTGATTTTTTGTAATATGTGAAAAAGGTGTAAAGTTTTTAATGTGATTTATTTCGTGAAATAAAGAATTGTGTAAAATTTAAAATCATTTCGAATATTTAAAAACATTTTATAAATAATTATAAGAAAAATGTTTTCAGTTGTCATAAGAAGTGATGAATTAAAAAGGCATAAAACGAGAGCATAAAAAGAGAAGAATTAAAATATGTCATACGAATGTTAATTTCAATGGATGTGATTATTTTATCGGATATTATGTATAATGTGTTATATTTGAATATTGATTTTGTGGCTTACTTGGTTCGCTTCCGGACAAGGTTCACAATTAGTTTTACATAGTTCGACATTACATTCGATGAACAGATCCATAACATCAGGGAATTTAAATGCTTGGAAGAACGCATAAGCAATAATGGAAGCGCCTGTATTGCCAGTATCATTTGTCTTTTGGAAGGCACCGAACAATTTCGGTTTCAAAATGCAGCCTCTTTCGTCCGTGAGCTGCAGCATATTGGTTGAGGCTTCGTCTCGCGCCAAACAGTCACGCACCTTGAAAGTAATTATAAATGATTGTTTAATTTATATTTATATAACAAATAAAAATTTTGTAATATTAAAAATAAAAATAGAACACGCTTAAAAATTATATATTTTTTATGTTGAAACACAATTCTATTAATAATCACATTACGCGCATATAAGATATTTCAACAAGTACCTGAAGATCGAAACCAGGATCGCCCTCTACGGAAACAACTAAAGTCATGGTTTCTCCGATCTTTACGAGTCCATCGGCTGCAGGTGCGAAAGGTCCTTTGCCGATTTGAATATCCAGTTTAGCTGTCGCAGTATCGCCACTAAAGGTAACGATTTCCTGGTTCAACATATCTACTGAGAGATTCACCGTTAGGGCCTTATTGATGTTCCCTTCCCAGAGACATCGCACTCTTCGAACTGTATCCCAGACTTCTTGTATACCCGGCTCATTCTTTAGCAATAAGAATTTTTTATTTCAAAGTCTAATAATTATTTTCAATCACATGTGATTTTTTTTTTTACGAGCTACTAAATGTAACAAATAAAACCCGTGGAAAATCAAGCTAATAAATTTAGTTAGTTCGACACCGACTTGTAATACGAGGACGTTTTCCAAATACGCTTGACCAGCTTCACCCTCGAAATCATTGATGAATTGAGTTCCGCAGGAGTCCAGATTCACCGTAAAAGAATATGTTATTGAGCCGGAATTTTGCTTTACGTAAGTACAATCCGGATTCATAAAAAATCCCTGAAATTAGACAAAATTCATATATTGTTATCGGTAATTTTTTGGGCAAAAGATCGTTTTGTTTTACGCTTACTTTAGAATAAATAATGCCGTCGTAAGCACGATTAAATTCGATATTGATTGTCATCATTGTCTTACTGCACTGGACATCAAGACTATGAATATGCGGTGGATGACTGAGATCATCTTCAGTTTGAGTCTCTAAAAAATAAAACAAAATTATAATTTTTTAAATAAAATTATTTTTTCATGTATTCTGTATTTATATTATACTGACTGTATAAACTAACAAATACCTCCAGTTCCAGTTTCAGTAGTTCGCGGGCCTTCTCCTGTGGCAGCTTCGCCGGTAACAGCGCCTGTTCCAGTTTCACCTGATGTAGTAAAGGGAGGAAATGGTCTCTCGCTAGTCGAATATCCCCCGCTCGAACTGGGGTAACCTGAACTAGGATAGCCTCTTGTCGGAGGTGGTCCTGAGGGTCCAGAGGCTCCTAAAGGATACTCAGATGGCATAATGCTGGTAATCTCCAATTGATTTGGTGCTGTATTACTAAATGGTATACTAAAAGGTGCTTTCGGAATATTTTTAGAAATTTGGATGCTTGTGTCTACACCCGTATGTGCACCTAGAGAGTAAGCGAGTTCTTCGTTCTTACCGATGGATTCGGAAGGAGGTCTTGGACTGGTCGATGGGAAAAGCGGTGGCTGCGGTGGTAGGTAAGTGGACGACGATTCTGGGGGATTCAGCGGCGGAAAGGCCGACGAGCCCGCGTTGGAGTACGAAGGCTGACTCGGTCGGGGGTTGTAGGACGTAGAGCCTCTGAAACCTTGCGGCACGTACGTTGATGAAGGTTGTTGGCTCGGTCTTGGAGTAGAAAATGGCGTGGAAGGTTGCCCAGATGACGAGTAACCAATATTTGGTGGGGTGTACAGCGATGATGGGCGCTGAGGGGTATAACCTGATATGTCACTCTGTTGAGAAGCCGTAGCCTGGAAAGGTCGGGGTTTTTCGGGCGGTCGTTGAGTGCTGTAGGGTGGCAAGTATGCATTCGAATCCGATTGTTGGCGAACTGTAAAAATACGTGGGCTCAAGAGTGAGACTCCTTTGTAAATCGTGGTTACTACGATGGCATCAATGAAAAGTAATGTAAAGTACTGTAAAACTAATTTTTTAAAACAATTACTTTATGAAATTTTTCCAACTTAAAATTGATTTGTTTTTCATTTACGATATAAAAATTAAGATATTATATAAATTCAAAATTCTTTGGATTAAAGTTATCGTATTGCTTTGTACTATTGATAAAATAGAAAGTTGCTGTCATTCAAAAGCTTCACAAATATACTCATGGTAATGATGATATTTATCATTGAAATTATCGATAATCTATGAACATCGATCAGTTTTATATATGTTCATCAGACTCTTTAAATGTTGATTAAAAAAAAAAATAGGTAAAGGAAAGCATAGGTTCTAAAGAGTTAATTAAGAGTATATTGAGTTTAGTCAGCTACAAAAAAAAACGATTTATTAAAAGCATTTTATGGCTTTGATAGCATTTATTTATTAAGATATTGTATATATTAAAAACTCTATGGATTAAAGTTAATCGTTTTGAAACTTTCTGTTGATAAAATAGGACTAGAAAGCAATTGTCATTACAATCAGTAATAGTAAAAAATGTACTTATACTTTACATCGAAGCTATCAATAATGCCATCGAAGTCCTTAAATATTGATCAGTTTTTTTAGTCGTGTTGATCGGTCTCTTTGACTTTTAATTAAAGAAAAAAAAACAAGAGAGTATATTTTAAAGTTAATTAAGAGTGCATTGACTTAATACTTTGTAAGAGAACGATTTATTGTCAGTTCGAACAAACGTGCATCAAAGCCATTCCCAGTGCCGAACATAAAGCTAATTCTGTGACTTCTAAATGTCACGTTAAAATGATTGATTAATAGCGTAGCTATGTTATGCGTGTTTATGGATGAATGATTTTGTGCGTCTATAATATCTAAATTGGTGAGGCGGTATTGGCTGCGCATAGTCGCAGCTTTCTTTTGCGCAATATACATCCATAATAGCATCCATCTCTGACCATCAGCGGCACTGAACTGTCTATAAATCAGCGCGCAACGTTAGACTGCAGCTAAATTCGATCATCATAAGAGAATACTCGTTAATATGCGCGTATGGCGACGAGGATGGCTTCGTGCCGTTTCCTGTTGACGACGACGAAACTCGGAAACCTACTTTTACGTGTGCCCTGCTGGTAGATCCCTTGAATCCACTCTAGGATATTTTGTGCCATCACGTCTGCCGGCGATACCGAGGCAGCAGCCCGTTGGACTCTCGAGTGTGCTAATGAATTTTAAACCATTCGTTTGTGATCAATTTATCACCACAACAATTATAGTGCCTCTCTCTCTCTTTCTCTCTCTCGCTCTCCTTCGCTGATTGTGCTTAAGGCAAACTTATATAGAATTCTCGCGTATTTTTCTTACCGGGATCCGCGTCTGCGGTTCTCACAAAGAGCGCGTGACCGCCGAAGTCTTGGCCGCACACCGCTGCACCCGAGAGAGCGACGACGAGAATCGCCGCGATGAGCTTCATCCTTGGCCTGTAAATTTTATTTCAGTTAATGACAGCACTTTTTCTCTATCTTTCCTCTCTCTTCACGCTGTATCGATACTCTCAATTTCGATTGGAATTTCTTCAATAGAAATAATCGTCCCGCGCGAAATCGCTTTCGATGTTGCGAGGGTCAAGTGTCATTGACTCGCGGGAATATGGAGATTTACCCAAGGATGATGAGTCGCGGATGGCGGTAAGCCGGTCTCCTCGTCGAAAGTAGAAAGTGATCATTATGAAATCTATATGACCATGATCGCAGCTTTTGACAGTTGACGTCACCGTACAAACGAGATGACTTATTGCGAGAAGAGGCACGCGAGAGTGCGCGCGCGTGATTTCTCCTCAAGGTCTGGGCTTCCGTGTTCTGGGACGATGAAAAACCATGTAGTCGATTATGAAAATCGCTGTTTATGCGTTATGTGTATCTATACATTTAAGCGCGTGTTTTTTTCAAGGTCTCCACATGCGTGCCGGAATGCGCGAACCGTACAAAGAACGACTACCTTAGCTCGACCGTATCCATCGTGAATTTCGAAAGTAGCATCGCCGAAGGATACCACGGTGGTTTTCTAATTGGATCGTAATTGCCCGGTGGAATACCCAAGGTTCCGAATCGCGGACAGAATGAAATTCATCGTTCTTGCAAGGATTAACAGGCAAGTATTATTTCGGTAACGCGATGACTGTACAGATAATTGTCCTGCTGCCAAGTTGCAGCTAGCTGGATCATCTCCAAGGTCCCAGAACATGGCGAAATTAATCGTTGTGGAAAGAAAAAAAAGGAAGAAACCGCGTGCAATTATTTCGACAGAGCTTTAGTGGAAAATTTAGCGTGCGAGTATAATGGCGCTCGTTCCTTAATCTCAGATCGCGATCGCTAAATGTCTTTTAATCTAGAACCGACGTTGTTTCCATTATTGTTCATCTCTTCTCACGTACTGTGGCGTGTGTTAGCGACGTGTTTCGTCAGGACGGATTACGTGCGGTATAATCGCGCTGTCTTGTCTCACATGTCTCATAATTCCAGACCACCTTGTTAGTGTAATAATTTATGACTACACTCGCGGACACTTAATCATGTATTTTTGGTCATTCAGATATTTCTGCTTTTATTTATGTAGATAAGATGGCATTCTTCCTCTTTCATAAGAATTTTTATTAATATTACAACATTCATTATTTTAGCTTTAAATATAGAATTTCTTCTCATACTTTAACCGAATTTCTTTACGATCTCATATAAAATATATATAAAAATTTTTCTCGAAAACTAAACATAAGCCTAAAACGTTAAATTTTCAGGAAACAGAAAATTTCAAAAAAATCATTCATTGTATAACCGTTTTTCTCTCTCTCTTTGGATATATAATTTTTATTTTTATCAATATATTATAAATCAATGTTAATCTTAATTAACTTATTTCTTATTTTTTTCTAGTTCTTAATGTCCTGTGTCCAGACCCACAATGTCAGAAATCGGTTCTGTAGATTTTTAATGAAAAAAGAATTCACCAATTGCATTGGTCATATTATCAAATTGTTTAAATGTAATTTGTAAATTCTTTCTTTGTCCGAGATCTCAAACCGATTTCTAGCATCGTGGATACAAGACTTAAAGATAAAAAATGATGAAGAGTAAGTTGAACCGAGATTAAAGTTTATTTACATTGATAGAAGCGGATATCGACAATATGAATAGATAATATAAAAACAAAGTTTTAGATTATAATTAATGTTTTTAAAAAAATAAAAGATCTCTGAACTTGTGCTTGGTTCTTGGAAATTTTATATTTGCTATTGTTTATCCTGTAATACATTTTATATTAATTTTGTTAAACATTAATTATGATAAATGTGAAAAAGAAAACATTATAGTATATATATATAGCTCTTAATAAAAACATCCTGTGCAAGCGTTAAACTGTTATATTTCTATTTTATTCTCTTGCAGGAACAAAATTTATTAACTTAGATACTACTGATAGAAAATAATGTGACATCAAATTAAAAAAAATGATTTTATTTAATTGTTGCAGAAAATGCTTTATTTATTATAGATGAAAATTTATACAGAATCTCAAACTCTTTTCATGCATGATTAAAATTCATAATTTATTGTATGAATAAAATAAATAGCATTATCAATTATGATATGATTAAAATTTCAATATTTAATTCAGTCAAATTCACAGTTACAATAAATAAATAACAATTTTAATTCATGCATTAATAATCATTGTATTAAAATAATTATTAAAATACAATAAATGTAGCAGTAATACCACACATATATTTTGATATTTAATCATCCGTACGATTTGACATATAATTACTCATTTATAGCATCACAAAATGTAAATTCCGCATGACTTCTTCGCGATTTAATGAACTCTTCGTTTGAGTTCTGAGCCTAAATAAGCGTCATTATCTCGTTACACGAATTTGAAATCTAACGGTTAATCCAATGCTATACCTACGGAAGGCACGGGAAAGCATCCGTGCAAGGATGCACGAATGCTTTCCATCGCCTTAGTTTTATGCCATGAATCCGCTAGTGAAACCGAATCGTGACGCAGCCGCCTTTGGTTGCTATCCGTACTCGTACGATCCGATGCATCCAAGCACTGATGCTGCGTCGGATCGGTAGGGTAAAAGATCGAGAAGTCAACAGTGGAATCGTGCTTGAGCAAGGTGAAAGGTGAAAGTCGTACCGCGCCGGCTAGAGGGACGTATATATACCGGTAGGCATGTGCTTGCTTTTACACGTGTTCTCCTTTGAACGTATCTACGTACGCATTCGAGGTCTATCGTAAGATCTTTCTGTCAATCGATAAATCAGATAGATCAATGTGCTTTTCCTCCTTTCTTGTTTGTTTGCTCATTTCGTTGATCAATAACGTCGTAAAATAATTTTTTGAGACTTTAGTTCTATATTTGGATTGGCTAGAGATCGATACTTAGCTCCGTAAAATTTGAATTATTTTTGCTTCTTTGAATCTTTAATTTATCACGTGTTTTTTATTTTATTTTGCATATTTTTGAGCCGGAGATTTTTATACCAATCGATGCGTGTACGCAATGATTTTCTCGAGTCTCACGATAGATACATTAAATTGCGAAAATAAGTATGAGAAAGAAATTCGTGATAATTATACCAGAAGATTGACTCGATTACACAAGTCAGAGATTCCAATTAGGTTTAATCAAAATTACAAATACATGTAGAGAGTGTGATGGCAAGATAAACCATTAAGATAATCCGATTTACATGAAAACAAATTATCTTATAGCAATAGAGGAAAAGGTAGTGTTACTGTAGCACCTCATATTATATTTCTTACAATAACACACTTGGTTAATAACCAATATTTAAATTTAAATCTTAATGAATACATTCGTCAGAGTTTAGTTCATTCGATTTTACACTCAAAAATATATGAAATATTTATTACTTGAAATATTATTCATAAAATATAGCAACACTACATGGTTGTAGATTGCAGAAAAACAGAGGTGATAATATGATTTCTTTGCAAAAATTAAGATTTGATTTAAAAAACAATATTTAATAACATAATTATTTTATTTACAAAAAAATATTGTAGAATGTATAATATATATATAACTTGTTCTGCTATAGGCAGAACCATTGTCAGTACTAAAAATTTGTAAATAATTAAACGGTCTAAATCAAGTTAAATGGATTTAATAATAATAATTATTATTAAATACATTTGGCTCCATTTAGACCGTTTAATTATTTAATTTGCATTGCAAAAAACGAGCGAAATTTATTAAAAATTTATAGCATTTATATCTATAACGTGAACAATACCTAGATTAGATTGTATTGCTATAATCGACTTATTAAATAATTATTTTTGTATGAAAACTTTGAAGGAAGGTCAGCAATATGCTTAGGCAGTTACATTAGCACAATGCTTGATTGTTGTTGCATTGTTTAACATAATTGTGTATAGACAAATAAAGTGTTAAATAATGAACACACACTCAAGAGTATATACATTCGTGTGATAATACAATTCAAGAAGAAAAATATGTATAATTAAATGTTAAAATGTACTTTAAAGAATGTTTGAAGGTAAAAATGGGTTATAATAAATTTCAAGTATACTTATTATGTATTAGTATAATGGCCTTATAATGTAAGGGAGGATTTCATAAATATGATTCAATAAATAATCATTAGAATTCGCTTTTTGTTCCATGGAAAGGCCATAATACCACCTTCTCTTCTATTATAGTTTCGTAGCAATATTCTCGAGTATGTAAAATATGACAGAGTCATGCAAAAGTAACATATTTAACCTGTTAACTCTTAATTTGGACATTACACAATAGCACAGATTACGTAGTAATACAATTTTTTTAAATAAAAGACTTCTACAAAAAAGAGGAGTAATTGCTCTGCATTTTATTTACTATTTATTACTGTATCTTCTTGTATTTCTTAATATTAAATGTGCACAAAATCTAGTTGTTTTATTTCTCTAAAAAGAAAGTAATTGTATAAATAAATGGCAGAAGTTTCAGAGGCTTTACGTTTACACGGAAAAAATAGTTTTGTTAAATTATCTAAAAATGTAACTAGATATATATGTATATAAAAATAATTTTGATGGATTATTAAAATAATTATACAGAAGTAAGAAGACAAAAATTATATAGAGTTGCTTAAACGTTGGTGACAATAATGCAAAAAGTTTTAACATTCCAGCAATTAGTCGGAGCGTTCTACATAATTATTTTGATAGTCTAAGCAAAATTATTTTCAGATCTATCTAGCTATGTTTAGATACTTTATAATAAAATCGTTCTTTTCTCGCGCATACAGTGAAAATTGCTGTTGATAAGTGCTGTTCTTATTATATCTGAGAAAATTATAATTTGTCATCGCTTCTATTCAGTGTGTTCAGTAATCGCTGCATATGCATAACATGTAATTGATATCCATATCA